AGGAGGTCCCATTTATTAATTTTGTCTGTTCTGTCCCTGTGCCAATGTTTAAGTGTACTTCCCACTTTCTCTTCTATAAGGTTCAGTGTGGCTGGCTTTATGTTGAGGTTTTTGATCCATTTGGACTGAGTTTTGTGCATGGTGATAGATATGGGTCTATTTTCATTCTTCTACATGTTGACATCCAGTTATGCCAGCACCACTTGTTAATCATTGATTTTACATAATTCTAAATTGATATTTGCTTTACTAAATGTAATAGCAAAAGACAAAAATCTTGTTGCACAGAGACATATATAAATATTAGTAGTATTAAAATCTCAATTTCATATGGATAAATAAAATAGATGAAGTTTTACACTTTTGAGAAAATTATTACATAATTATTATTATAACAAAGGCCATATCAATTTATTTATTAATTTAGTTATATATTTATTGCATTTATTGCCAGTCATAATATACTTGTTGAAAACAGAAGAAAAGAGTATAGTCTTGTCTTTACTTTTTCCTACTGGGAACATGCTATGTCTCTAGGGTTCCAAGAGTATAATTGAGTTTATTTGGGACAATGGGAATTGCTCTATGCTTCTGGCTAGCCTTTCTATAAATGCCAGCTAAACCAAAGCCACTTTACTATGCAGCACAGTTCAGTTCATTCCATCACTGTCCTATGTACCAAAATGCAGAGGTGAAACAGACAAAATGGCCATTCTGCTATAGGCAAAACAAGTATATAAAATAATTCCAAAAGAGAAGAAAAGAAGAACCTGGCTAGTGAAGCAGGAGTTTGTAAGAATTTATAAACACACACCAGGCAATGGTGCTGCACGCCTTTAATCCCAGCACTCGGGAGGCAGTAGCAGGTGAATCTCTGTGAATTTGAGGCCAGCCAGAACTTTAGAGCAAGTTCCACGATAGTCTCCAAAGCAACCCAGAGAAACACTGTTTTGAAAAACAAAACAAACAAACAAAAAAATTATAAATACAAATGCAACTAACCCTTCTAAGGGGAATAAAACACCAATGAATGTATACACTAAGGAATGTGGACTAACTCTTCCTCACTTTTACTTAGAATAGAGAAATGTAATAATGTCTGCTGTTAGGCCAAATAATTTTACTAGTTAGATAGTGAAGAGCAAACAAAATAAATCTGAAATGAAGCCAGGGAAACTGCTAGTATCCAGTATTCTACTTAACTGGACAAACTTTAGAAGCACCTCACCCACTGATGAGGCCTGAAGCACGTTCTACTACAAACGTTGGCAGGAGGCAGCACTGTTCCCTGCTGTACTTACTATATTCTGAAACTGTAATAACCACGTTTACACAGATGAGCAGTTCACACTCTGTTCAGCTTATCTTGTCAACCAGTCCCGATTAAGGTGCCACCATTTCCCGATTACTGTGACACCTCTGTAACTCGTTTTTAATTCACTCATTTTTCTAAGGCATTGACATTTTCCCATAGAGCAAAGCAAATATTATATAGCTTGATAAGACGGCAGGCTTAACAGGGATTGCAGAATGATACTGAGATGCTGTACCAATCATAACAGGAAAATAATAATCCTGTTCAAGACAGAGCAGAATGCTGTAAAATGCTAGCATCTGGTTTCTTAAACTTTTCCAGTTCTGATCCTTTTTTCCACTGAACTTTCTTTTAAAATTAAGACCCTAGGTATAGAGATATGTAAAATCGGTATACAAGCCATCTACTAACAATAAATTATCAAGCTATCTTACAACTACCACTTTATGCATATATTTTTACCATTTATTAAAGAGGAAAGCAAATTTTGGGGTAGGGATGGGAAGATGGCTCAGCTGTTAAAAGTACTTGCAGCAAGTAAGAGGACCACAGTTCAGCTTCCAGAGCCCATGCAAATCCATGAATGCCATCGGCTGGATGTGGTAGCCTGCCTGTAATTTCAGTCAGAAAGGGAGACTTTGGAGCAATCTGATTGATTAACAAGATGGGCCAAAGTCTGAAAGCTCTAGGAAGATCCTGACATTACCTCAGCCCTTCACTTGAACCCATACACATGTTTACACGCAAGCACAAACTCCACACACATACACATGAAAAAAATTAACAACCAAAACCACGGGTCTGTGAGGTGGCTCAGTGGGTAGAGCAGCTGGCTGCTCAAACTGAAGACCTGAGTGTGATCACTAAGCTCAACACGGTGAAGGACAGAACAGACTCCACCACCCCTGGCCTCCATACGTGCAGAGCACTTGAGCCCATACCAATACAAATACATGTAACAAAAATTTAAAAGTACTTAATAAGATAGGTGTGCTTCTTAAATCCTGGCTGGGAATCTGACAGTGCAGGACGTAGAACATTTTCAATGATTTTTTGGGGGGGGGGGGGCGCTTCACCGGCACTTTGCTTTTCTAGTTATCAAATAAACACACAATATGTATAAAGACTCGTAAGCATTTAGGAGCACTTCAGAACTTGTTGGAAGTTATGTCTTAATCCCAAATCAAAATTCATATAATGACTTTTAAGAATCAGTAACATGAATTTTTCAAATCACATATTTAAACACAATACAATTACAGATATAGTAATTTGATACACACCAAGGAATGATGGTAGAAACATACTGAATGCCTCTTTTCTGTTAATAAACCTCGTTTCTGTAAGAGTAGGAAACTTTGTACATATAGTAAAAATACTGCAGTTCATAACACACAATAGTCTGGAATCTGAGCCAAAGCTGTGTTCAGAACAAGGCTCCAGTGAAGTCACACGCTGTAAAGTAAGCAAGCACTGCTATACAAGTGCTGGGGATTCACTGTGTATTTATGTTTGTTTGTTTGTTTAAACAATTCCTCATCCAGTGATGGCCCCTCATGAAAGCACCATCCGCAGTTAAGGAGCTGGTCTAGTGTGCCTTGTTTGTACTTCTAATTAAACAAGTTTAATCACAGGCCACTGAAAACAAAGTAACTTCTACCTAAGCCGCTTTCTGTGGGGTAGGGGTGGGGGTGGGTATCCACAAAACTGCAGAACTCCTGCCAAGGCTACTACAGTCCTTATCTTGCCACGTGGCTTAGGTGAACAATGACATTCCAGGCCGCTGCACACACCCAGCTCACAGCTCACTCCTTTGCTGAGTCAAACTTCCTCATAGATCTCTGAGCAGGTGTTCCTTTACCTACACTCCTTTAGACAAATGAATTCCCATGAGTCCCAGGAAGCATTTATTTCTCACCCCTTCAGGAGAGCAGGAGGGTGCTGGGTGCTCTTCTAGGACCCGCCAATGGGTAGCCAGCATTAAAACTGCTCTCTGTGGTCACACAGCCATAGTACAAAGGATTTCAATAATTATGAAGGGAAAGAAAGAAGAGTTCAACCTGTCTGTTCCTTCATGACCTGGACATCTACACTTACTCCTGTTGACCCCACACAAACCTCAAGCTGTTGGTCCCCATGGAAGAAAACAGAAAAGAATAGGAAGTCATTAACACAACTCACCATTTTTACTGGAAACATCATTTAGTGTGATAAGCGGAAATGAAGGTTATTCTTAATATTAAACTAGATCCACATGTGATACTAAGTAGAATAAACACAAAATAAAACTGTATGCACACACGTGCCCCAAACAGTGGGGGAGGGTTAACAGGTCCCCCTTGGAAAACACATTCCAATCACTGCCTTAGAGGAAGAATGTTGAAGCCAGAGCTACACCAAGTGCACTAGTTTTCAGCCACTGCCGAGGAAGGAATTCCACCCTGGGAGTAAAAGCATAAAAACTCATTTTCTATTCTCCAAGGAGCAGACCAAGCTTGTGTCAACAGACCTTACTGGCGTAGTATGTGGGAAACTCAGCAACAGGGGGAAAAAGGTAAATTTATTATTCAAGGCATTAGTAGTTTCTAAGTTAAAATAACATCACGTGGAAAATTAATCTGAGGTTCTGAATAGGATGAAATTGAATATGCAAGCAGAAAAACCAATAATGAAAAATAAATTTGTCTGACATAAGATGGTTAAGAACACCTGCTGCTTTTGTAGAGGCCTGGGTTCGGTTCCCAGCACTCATGAGGTGGTTTGGAACCACCTGTCACTCCAGTTCCAGGGGCCGATACCCTCTTCTGGCAACTGGGCACCAGGCCTGCCTGCAGTGTATACACATACATGCAGACGAAATACTCATACACATAAAATAAAAATAAATCTTAGGAAAACTTTACAAGAAGGCTACATTGCATGAGAAGTTCTCTCTGCCTCTCTAATCAGATGTGGTGTGAGACCGGTGCCAATACATGCATAAACTATATTTATCTTCATACTACCAACATTTACCAACCTTTAATCTGAAAGGTTTGCTTTTCTTTTTGCTGTATTGTTTCTTGAGTTTTCCATTAGACCTAGATAATAGAAACCTAACATATAAGGAAAATAAAGTACTGCCTTTAATTCTAGGAAAATGAAAACCAAACACTGAAACGTCTCTCCCTATTTTTAGGTAGTACTTTCAAACTTCCCTGAGTTTTCACACGGCAATATTTACCTCGAAATAGGGCACTAAACACTGGCACCCTAACAGCCCAGGTTTTAAGAAAACCTGTTTCACTGAGTAGACGGGGGTCCACTAAAACATCAACGCTTAAGGCTCATGCAATAGTCATCATTAGAACATAGAGAATCTACAACCACCAACTGTTTTAACTTTTATAACTGATATTCTCATGACTGGAAAAGTCACCTAACAGGACGACTCCACCGTTCCGTACAAAGCAGCGATCAGGGAAGCCTTTCGCTAGAGAGGCTACCAGAGGTCCCTCCCGGGGAGGCCAGGGACACCCAGGGCCCGCAGACCAGCTCGCCCCTTCTCCCGCCGACGCCGGCAACGAGCCACGCCCACCCGCGTCCCCCGCCTCCGGCCGCCCTCCTCCCCGGCTCTCCGGGCACGCGCAGCGGCCTGGGGTCTCCCGCGCCTCCCTCCCAGGGGCGTCCGAGGGCGGGGCTGTACCTGCGCCAGCACCGTCAGGCTGCCCTCGCGCGCAGCGGCTTTCACGCGGCCGTGGTGCCACGCCGCTCCTGCCCCTGCCAGGGCCACGCCGGCCACAGCCGCTGCCACGGGGCCGGCACGCGGGACGGCTTGTCGTCCGGCCGCGAGCACGCGCCGCAGCCTGCCGCCCCAAGCCGCCAGCCGGACGCTTCTCCCGGCAGCCGCCGCCATCTTTGCGGAAGCGCTTGAGCGCCGTGCTCCGCCCCCACCTCCTGGTGCCTGAGAAGTCACGAGGGCCTTGACTCTCGCGAGATCTCAGCGGCCTCCTCCCGCGTGTGAGCTAGGTGTGGCTGCCTCCTCGACGTTTAAGAGCGGTCGGGAGTGACTGTCCCTTCTGGTGTCTGATTGCTGCGTTAATTGGAAAATTGGCCAAACAAGTTGGAGGTACCACCGTTGTCCAAGATAGGGCTGGAGGGATAGGTCAGGGCTAAGAGGACTTGCTGCCCTCCCAGAGGTCCACGGTTCGATTCCTACACTTAAAGCCACGTGTAACTCCTGCTCCGGGGATCCTGCGCCCTCTTCTGGCCTCTGACACCTCCCCATAAAAATGCAATTAAAATTTAAAAAGGAAGGGGAAATAGTACTGGGTGGAAGACCGTGACTATGTATATGTCAGACAAGCTAGATTTTAAACGTGTGTGTGTGTGTGTGTGTGTGTGTGTGTGTGTGTGTTTGGTGGTGGTGGTGGGAGTATAGGAAAAGGGAACAAGTCGGAAGGGTGTTTGATGATAAATACGGAATCCAGTTAGTTTTAAGCATGACTTTTCATTCCCCAGACTTCTCTGGAAAGTGGATGTCAGGGTTAAGTGGGCATTTTTGGATCTGCAGAGGGAAATACATCTATAGTAAGCGGCAAAGAGTGTTAATATTTATCACTGTGAGCATGCTCGCAACACTAGAATCCCATCTTCAAAGTTGATGGGGTATGGGGCTGAAAAGTTCTGCATTTTCTCCAACATTGTTTTTGCCATAAATGCCACATGCCTGGCTATATTAAGAGTTTCTTGGGCCCTCAGGACCCACATTGTGGAAGGAGAAAAGAGATTACCACAAGTTGCAGTGAGTTCCCGGTTACCCATGGCTACATAGTGAAATCCTGCATCAAAAGAAAACGAAGGATGTGTGTACATGCTCTCTCGTACAGACCTCTGTTTTTGCAGCTAAGCAAACTTTAAAATTTTATTTTTCAAGACATTTTTTTTATTTGTGCGTATGCATGTGTGTACGTATGTCACATGTGGGTGTATGCCCTCGGAATCCAGAAGTGGGTGCTGGATCCTCTGTAACTGGAAGTAGAGGCAGTTGTGATCAAGTTGGTGTTGGTGCTGGCAATGCAACTTTGGTCCCCTGGAAGAGCAGCAAGCACTCTTAGCTAATGATCTGTGTCCTCAGTCCCTAAAATTTGGTTTTTAATTGCAGTTAAATGTACACGATGCTAGTATTTTACACATTTAAGTGTAAAGGTCAGTGAGTGGCAGTGAGTCTTACACATGTTGTTATACAAAAACCATCATCCATCTACAGAATTTTTTTCATCTTGCAAAACTGGCTAACACTTTTCAAGAGTCTCTCCCTGTTTGTCCACTTCTCCTGAACTCCTGGTCTTTCATTTCTATTAAATAATGTCTGATCTAGACTTCTGAAAAGGAATTTCTTCAGAACTCCCAAACAAAGTCACTGTATTTTAAACAATTGTGATTTACTGAATGTTCCATTTAAATTTTATTCTTACAAAACATTGAATGATAGCTACGATCCCGCCTGGCACTAACGGCAGGTACACACCTACATCCATGTCACTGTCACTAGGGCCCCACTTGTCCTCTCTATGGCAGACGTGGACCAGGACCTCAGTCCTGGTTGTTCTTTTGTGATAGAAAGGGATTCATCCTTGCAGAAGAGTTGGCTTCATGTTGTAGCCTGAGACCCTCTATCCTTCCCTACTGCTGAGTAAACTTAATTATGTTCTTGTTCAACTTCTGAAGTGGTCAGTCATTAGAATCTTTATCTTTGTGTAGCAAGTGTGATGTAGCAAGGGTGCGATGCCAGAACTCCTGATGTGTACAAGACAATGAAGACAATGACAATAGTTGCCATTCCAAATCTAATGTGACAAGTTAATCGGAGCCCACTTGAACTATTGCCCATCCCTAATCTTCACTCCCCTCATCCTAGCCAGTATGTTCTAATCTGCAGTCATAGCTTCTTCACGTCCTCCGAAACCCTTTTAGTGTGCCTTCCTAACGGAAGTAAATAGACTTGCTCTGCATGGACTTGTAAGCCAGGCTCTACCAGAAACATCATGTGATTAAGGGCATCAAGTCCCAGTTTTCTCAGCTATAAACAACCCTCTCAGTTTCAGATGGGAAATGAAATGGGATAATTTATAGGAAGTGATTAGTTAAAGGCCTGGCACACGGTGCACTCATGACAGATGGGAGTTAGTCTTAAGATCTGGCTTACTCCAGCTCTGTCATCACGAATGAGCTTGACTGGATGTCTGTGATTTCAGATCACTAACCCACATTAACCCGAGACTTCCTGCATTTTCATATCTCACCTGATGTGTATCCTCAGGTTTATTTACATCTCTGCTAGATTTCCTAGTTCTTGACATGCATTCCATTGTTCTGAATTACTGATGCATAGCTTGTTTCTGACTCTTGGTGATTCAATGGATTGATTTCTGGGATGTGCTGAGACACAATGGATATCTTATCTTGTAGCTTATCCACACTTTCCAGAAACCACTTCTTTATCTGCTTTGAGCTATCTAATTTGCGCAGTTTCCTCACCTACTTAGTGGAGTCAATATCTACTACTCGGTCGTGGCCCCAAGCCCAAGAGTGGTGCATAGTCTTGCTACATCACTCAGCATATTTAAAACACTGTTTCCCTCACATTTTGACATCCTCAGGGGTGAGAATTTCTTTGTTTTCCCAGCATCTAGCAAGCACAGCATCCAGCACACACTAGACATTCAATTAACAGACATATGAATAAGTGAATGATGAAACATTGGGACACCCCATGTCTGGGGTGACAGACATGCAGAAATATATTGCTCCTTCGCTACAATTATTTTTCAAAACAAAGCCTCTTGTTAGATTTGCAGATTCTTTTTAAGAGGTGGAAATCTTTGACCTTGCTTGGAAAACGGCTTCGTAATTAGCTTGTTTTCTTGTTACATGTCCAGCCTCTTTGAACTCTCAGTTAGGAATTAATGTATTCAAACTTTTCTCTTGCAGAGAAAACAAGGTCTTTTAATAGAACCAATCTCTAGCCAGCTAACCATGCTAAGTATGAAACTTTCTGGCAGCTGCCGACTATATTGGTCTTTTGGGGCCCTGGCTTTGTTCATTTCTTCATCCCCAGCTATAGAAAAAAAAGCCCTGAGCTGGGGTGTATTTTCAACCATGCTGTTTATAAACCAATCCCCAAAGAAGGAACTTCTGCTACTTCAGCTGTAACACCCAGCCTGTTTTAAGTGGTCACTGGAGAGAAACAGAATGGTACCATGGACGGTTTCAAAATATGGTTCTTAATTCACTTAGTCAGGGCTCTTTCTTTGGAGGAGGGACAAAAGTGAAATGGCAGAGGAACAACTACAAGGGGCCTTTTCTGCCGCTGGTGGCAAGACTAGATTCAACAACAGTGCCAGGTGGTTCTTTACCATTGGGCTGGAGCAGTGGGTGGAGAAGTATGCAGAGCAAGGTTGGGGTAGAATGTCGAGATGACTGCATACAATGTGTGTCTATAAGGCTTGAAGCAGACATGCTGGGTTGGAGTTGACCTTAAGCGTCTCAGTGGCTGGGGTGGGGTGGGAAGATGCAACAATTTTCACAGTATGTACATTCATGTGCTGCTTGGAAAATTGACACATCTCGGGACTAGAGAGAGAGCGCAGTGATTAAGAGCACTGGATGCTCTTGCAAAGGAACTGGGCTCGGTTTGCAGTACCTACATAATGACTCACACCTTTCTATAAAGCCAATTCCAAGGTATCATCTGAGTCCCTCTTCTGGCCTCGCCAGTGCACACATGTGGTACCCAGACAAACATATGGGCAAAGCACCCATAAGCATAGAAACCAAAACAAATTCAAACATATGGCACATCCCAAAAGGCAACCCTACTGTTTCAGCCCCCAGAATACTGGGGTTGTGGACTCGTGCTACCATGCTCAATGGCATTACAAGTTTGTAGGTCCATGGCTGTATGTGTGGCCTGTTACTCTCTACAATGTCCTTATGCTGCGCATGGCTGTATGGGGAATAATTGTCAGCCCGTTTGACCTCCCACGCCTTTGCCTGTGGCTTCAAGCCTCATTTCCTGTATTCTCACCTACCCTGAAGCTGACCCCTGCATCTCACACTTTCTACCTCATGCCTGTCTTTTGCCTGCCTGGACCACTTTGACTTTTCTCACCAATGGCTTTCCGCAAATTATCTTCCTAACTCCTGACATGCAGTAATGTAATTTCCTATGAATTGCTGGTCTTGAACAAAGAAACCAACCAGTTCTTTAAACTGAGGAGGGCATTGTACTTCTGAAACATCTTAAAAGATGCTATGAAGTCAAATGCTACTTTGATCTTAGCGTGCGTGGGATAAATAAAGATTATGATCTGATTCTGAAAGGCTGTTTACTGTTACATTCCAGAAGAATGTGCATTAAGATTGATTATCTTTGGTGGAGGAGAAAAATATGGGGGATTCTTAAAAGATAAGTTAAAGAGGTTGGGCTTAGTCCAATGTTAATGGAGAAGCCAGCCCTTGAACGGACGTTATAAAGAACCATTGCTTAGAATAGTTTGGAGGTTGAACTATGTTTATGGTAGATAATTGGGTGGCAGAGGGTATGATTCACTCTCAGAGGCCCTAGATGAGTCAAAAGGATTGCTAATTATGTCTTTCTGTGCAGTTTGGGCCATGGGTAAAAATATCTGGGGATCATGATTGATACCAGCATGTGTAGAAATAGGTCAAGATGAAATCTCACTGACAGCAAGACAGCCCTGCCAAGAGGAGCCTTTTCTATGTCTTTCAGGTCCTCCCCTGGTTCTCATTCCATTCCCATCATCCCCGCTTACACTCTCATTACCTCGCCCTGTGATGATTGCAAGCGTCTCTTAACGCATGCCTCTGCTTCCAGTCTTCTCCTCCTCCCCAGCATTCCGTAGCTGGATGTCAGCTCAATC